TTCCTTTCACGTGCAAGTTAAATTCTTTAGCACCTTTTGTCATTTGTTGCTTTCTGTGACATTAAATGTAAATAGTTGCTTGCCTTACTCAATTTGAGAAAGTATTCATCTTCTAAGATGTTGTGTACCATGGAAGCAGGAAAACAGCAAGCGGCGAAAATTAGAAGACTATTATGCAGGAAAAAGAATGTACAGTGGGAAGGTACTTATCTTTCTAGCTGGGTTTTTTTTTTTACCATAATGCCACCTTTTCCTTAGCTTCCAATTAACTCATATAGTCATAATACAAACTTTTAGTTGCTCATCTATTCAAGTATCAAGGATGGGAGCCTTCATGATGCATGTTCTTATTTTATTCAGGAAAAAATGGTGGATTCTTGCTCAAGCGGAAACAGATATGTGGTCAACCAAGGCGCCTCTGCGTCTTATTCTCCAATGATGCACCAGGGGAACCAGAATGATCTATTTTCACCTGAAGGTTGTTAGACCATATCTCTCTAATTTTCAGAAGGTTTAAGCTGTTTCACATTTGCATAATATGGAATTTAATTAATTTGAACTTTTGCTTATCTATATAGTATTTTCTCCTTCACTGGTGATGATTTTTAATTATGCATTTCTTTCATGTTTTTCTTAATTCAAAATTAGGTTTTCAAATTTGAATTCAATACATATATACCAGCACATGGAATATCGTTTTTGGATCTATGGTTAGTTTTAACCTTTACAACATTGAATAATGTTACTGTAAACATAATCTAATGAAATTCTTTAGTATGCGTGATAACGGGTTGGAAAGCAGTTACAGATATAAACTTTTAGATCTTGGTGCCAGTTATAACTGTTATAATTATTGTTCTTGCTTAGTACAATTCTCTGTAGCCTCTTGGTAAATACACAGAGGCACTTAAATTTAAGCAAATATCGTTTTTGGATCTATGGTTAATTTTAACCTTTACTGCATTGTATAATGTTACTGTAAACATAATCTAATGAAATTCTTTAGTATGCTTGATAACGTGTTGGAAAGCAGTACGGATATAACCTTTTAGAACTTGGTACCATTTATAACTGTTATAATTATTATTCTTGCTTAGTACAATTCTTTGTAGCCTCTTCACTGTTGTGCCTTTCCTTGGCACTTAATTTTAAGCAAATGGAAGAGAACATGAAGGATGAAGAAACTTTTCACTGCACCAAATGACACAATATAGGATGGAGAATTAGTTGAGAAAAGTAACTCAATCACATACTGTATTAAGTGCTTTGGGTGCATGTTTACTGTGTTGCTCCATAAGACGCTAGTGCCATGGTTGAAGGTTTTTAAGTCATTTAACAAACTGCTGCATAAAGAGATGAGGGACTTCAGTGCTACATGCCCATATTTGTGATCTGTCAATGCAGAAGATGGCATTACCTCTATTCACAACTTCTTCATATTAAATTAGAGTCATAAAGTTAATGCGGCCCTTTTTGACTCCTTGGACACAAAATATCTCAATGTGTTCTATATACGGGGACAAGCCTACTTGATATCTTAGCCATAATATGTCTAAGTATATCTTGCTATACACTGTTTTAAAAAACCTCCGCCTAGTCCGCTTAGGCGTACGCCTAGGCCTAGGCAGTACCTAGGCCGCCTAACTAGCGCCTAGCGTCTAGGCGGTATTTAGGCTGCCCACCTAGATATTACGTAACTAGCGCCTAGCGTCTAGGCGGTATTTAGGCTGCCCACCTAGATATTACGAGCGTTTAGGTGAGCAGTCTGTTTATGTGGATTGCACCCTGTAGGCCTTGATTGTGATTTTATGTGTCGTAGCCTACACGTCCTCCAAACTCCATTAACCTCCAAATATGAACACCTCCACTACCTCCTCCGACCTTCAACAAAACCTCATCGACCACCACTTAAATGAAGAAAGAAAAAAAAGGCCCAGAAACCGCTTAGGCGTCCGCCTAGGTGACTAAGCGTTGGGCGCTAAGTCCGACGCCTAGAAGCGCTCAACGTTTAATGTAACATTGTTGCTATATATGTATAACTCGTTTTCCCACTAAACACTTGGTGTCCATTAGTGTCATTTACGGTCACATTTCCCTATGTCAGAACTTTGTTTTGGAGATCTACAAATTTATCTTGGGGTAACAAAATGTGCCTTATATCAGTAGCTTTTACTTTGGCAAGGTTAATGCGTCAGTTTTTTTGTCCAAAGGTTTTTCTGTATGTAAATCCAAGTTAACAAAATATAAAAAAGTATGTAACATATTTGTATATTATCAAGCAAGCACATGTATAGGTCTGACCTCATATGCTGGGCTTTGGGGAACAGCTATGTCGATTCAACTGTGTGTTAACTTGAATATAGCAACAATTTTTTGCGTCCGAACAATATCTTCGTGTTACATTCATATAGATCTTATGGAACTTGGCACACTTCTACTCCAAATTTTGTTTTCTTTCTGTGAAAGTTCTCTTATTTTATGATGTTATAGTACTTTTAACTGCCTCAAATTGATCAGTTGCGCTTGTTGCCCTTTAGCTTATATCATTTTGCGTTATACAGTTCCAGCTCTGGATGGTGCGACTCAGCAGCTTGTGGATGAAAACAATCAGATGCTTCATCAGATTTCATCTAATCTTGCAACATACAAGGTGTGTAGGTCTAAATTATCATGCTATTATAAATTGAAGGAAAACGTAGGAGGAGGTCACTTGATTGTTCATGATTTCCTGTGAACCCTTAGGTGTTGTGCGGTGCCGACTTAGTTCTTTGAATGCACGAAGAACAAATGAAAGCTAGTATACAGTGGTCAATTGGTATAGAGGTTAACATAAAATTGTGGGCACAACAAGGGTCGCAATAAGAGTGTCAATGAGGTAACCCTAGAGAAAGCTTCTCCTGCTGCAACTTAACAAACCAGAATAAGAGTGAGGAATGAAAGGATATTCTTAACTATGACCTCTGAAATAATGTTGCGATTTACAGAGCATTGTCAATCACCACTGCCAGCAAGGGTTCTCTTTGCTCTAGGTCCAAACTGTCAGTAAGGGTCTCACTTTGCACAGCTAGGGTTGCAATAAGAGTTTCAATGAGGTAATTGTAGAGAAAGCTTCTTCTGCTATTAATTAATAAACCAAAATACAGGACACTAAGAGAGCATGTTATATGTAACACGAACATGAGATATACTGATTTGCTCAGCTCGAAGGGTTACCATTAATGTCTTTTTTCCCCCTGGAAACAAAAGGAAAGTTAATGGCTAAAGTAAACTAAAAGTAGAAGGGTTAACCAATTATTTCTTTCATGGACCTGAGGATTCCAATACTAGTAATGATGGTATGCAAATGTAACTCACCATACAAACTATCCTCAGTTCATAGCTCCCTGTAAGGCCTGTCAAGAAACTTGTCGTTGGACCTGATAATATCTCTTTGTTGCTCAAAAATAAGTGTATCATTTTTGTAACTTTCGACTCGTTCCAAACTACAAAAAGTTTTTCCATCTGACATGATACCCTCTAATTGCAATTACTCTGTACAATACTGCTATTCATTGTAATCATTCTCTATAGTATTTATTAGTCATTGTTATCGTTCTCTATATTTTATTTTTATTTAAAGCATTCTAGGAAATATATATAGGGCATGTTCTGTGCTAAATATTTTGCTCCTCTATCTGGTCTTAACTGATGGCCTTTAGTTATTCTCTTTTTCGCTTTTTTGTTCTGTATCTAGAGGTGTATGATTCTTTGGAACTTTTACCAATGCAGGTACAACAAAATATTGATTTGTTCTGTCATACAAGAAACAATATCACAACCATCCTAAATAAGTACGACTTTGTTCAACCTTTCTTACGGTCCTATGGGGAAACCCAGCAGTTTCGCACATTTGTTCTTCTTGTGGGTGCTGTTTATTGTCTCTAATATGTCATTTTTGTTGATCTTTATGCAGCATGAGCAATATGCCTAGCATAATGAGTCAGATGCCTCCTTTGCCTGTGTCAGTAAATGAAGAACTTCTTAGTGCTCTTGTATCCTATCGAAATCAGGTAAGCTTCCTCCTGTTGTGAAATTTACTTGCAAAGTTGTCAAAATTCGGTTTACTTCTATTTAATTGCTTTTAGGAAATACGATAAAAAAAACTGTTCTTTGTACATAAAGGATCTTAACTTAATTCCCACATATTGTGCTTTCTTGTAGTAATGAGATTGTTTGTCTAAACTGTAATTATGTTCATCATCATTGTCGTTGTCATCATTACCGTCTTTGTTGTTTTATTTTTGGACCAATACTGTAGTTTGGACTTGGCCTTGGAATGTTCAATAACCTATTGCTACAGCTTTCCCTCTGAGCCAGGCTTCAAGGCTCCAATTTTGAAACTAGAGATTTTATTTCTACTTTATTTTTTAATTGTACTTTTTTCAATAAGCTCTTTTTATACTTATTAATAAACTCTTCATCGGCGGACTAAAGATAGTAGTCACAAGTCCTCTGAATTCATGCATGCCAGAGGTTCGTGAATGTTTATACATTGATAATTTAAATCAAATATAGAAGATTTGGATTTTATTGTATAAATTGTTGTACACCTCTAATTATAGTAGATACTAATGTCTAGGAATTTGAGGGAATTCGTCAGTGATTATAGTAATTAATATACATAAATGTCATTTTTCTGAAAGCTGACATGAATTATAACATAATTTCTTGTTTCTAGCATCTTCACATCTAAATAAAACATAGATGGAAGTTTCTTTATCTTGCAGTTGTCTGTTATAAGCTCCAAGCCCTATCATTGCAGAGATTGAAGAGTTTGTTATGATGATAGGCCTTTTAGAGAGCAGAGAGTTGCTCTTTTGTTTGTCACGGCAAAAAATATATATAGGTGTTTATTGTAACGCTGCCTTTTTGAAGCCATGTCGTCCCGTCCATACTCCCTAGGTAAAGCATTGACCTAATTTGCACGGAGGAGTAAAAACTATCTATAATATGTAGAATGCTTTACTTCAGATATTAATACTCGTTTGCTCGTCTTAGTAACAACAAAATTAAGGTGTATACAATAATTCTATTTATTATTGCGGTGTATTTTCTTCTATCTTTCTAACGATACATTTAACTCAGTGAAGCTCGCTTTGTGATCTTTGAACCCGAAGAGCTCATTACCGTTACTTTTTCTCTTGTAGGCATTCATGTTTAGTGGCCCTGGCATCAATTTGGAGCAGCAGACAAAACATGATCACCAATGATAGGATGTGCTCAAATTTAACCTTTTGTAATTACAACATTCTCATCTGGGACTTCTCTCATGTATGTAAAGTTAAATGTTTTGGAATTTGAAGAGACAATATCATAGTATTCCTAGTATTCAGGTAATAAAAGCCTTCGCTTGATATAATTTTTCTCTGCTCCAGATTGTATTTTTGGACTTCCGCGGGGAGGGGAAGCATGAAATACTGTAAAGTTTTGGATGTTCATCTCATGCTATCCTCCATGGAAATGTATTCTTCTGTAACAGTTACGTGGGCAGATATTTATGCTGTATAACCTGGAGAAGCCTGTGATTGTTGGATTTGGATTTTCTTTATATATTTTTGTTGAGCTATTTTCTTTTTTCAACCCTCTCAGATGTTAAATGTAGAACGGAATGTTGCCTTAATCTTGTTGTACCTGAGTGTATTGGAGCTTAGGTGTTTTAGATAATTCTAGAGTGCTGAACGTATATATTTTGTTTTTTTTTTATTATTTAAACTCCCTATTATAAGATCAGTTGTTGTTCCTTAGATGTACTTTCGGACTCCAAATTAAAAACCCTATCATGGTTTTGATGAATTTAGAAGACGAATCAGCGTCTTCTGATTTCAAGCTTTAAGAGCGCACTGAGCAAAGCGACCATGTGGAGCACCGTGCGGAATTACAATTCGGAGCTTTTTAATTAATAAGGCTAAATAGCACCTAAATAACCAGCAGTTCAACTCACTCTGCATCTGCATACCCCAAACGTGACCAATATGACATCAAGATGATAATTGCTTCTATGAAAACATTCAGGTGAAAATATTCATGGTTGCTTAATGCTTAGTGGAGAGCATCAATGTGCCAACTCTAGCAACTCAGGGCATATAACGCCCCACAAAACAAAGGAGGCTACAAGGGAGCGTATGTAAGGGGCTGTTTGGTTGGCATTTTTTGCCCTTGTTTTCCTGCCAAAACTGATAAAAGTTGTCAGTTTTGACAGCTTTACTTTTAAAAACGCCCCAAAATGGACGTTTTTGTAAGTAAAGCTGTCAAAACTGACAGTTTTTGTCAGTTTTGGCAGGGAAACCAAAACAAAAAAGCCAACCAAACAGCCCCTAAGTGTAAAGTGAGCGAAAATATAGGCTATTTAAGTAGTATGTGGCCAAATAGATAAGTAACCAAATCTATCATGTGATCCAAGCACCATAAAACTCATCAACAAATTGCAAAGAATTTCGGCTGTCTCAAAATATTGTATATTATGATATCACTTCATGCACCATAGTAAAGCACCAATAACCATATAAATAAATAAAATAAGTGGAGCATGCAATCCTGCGCTTCAGCCCGGTCTGCACAAGGCCCAAGGCTCATCGTGGGGTGCATTCCAAGCTCGCAAGGCCCTAAGGCTTAAACTATTTTAAATGAGTTGGATCATTGCCTCATTTGAGCCTGTACATACCATAATGTTCAAATTCAAAACTCTACTAGCACCAGGGTTGGAGACCAGGGTTGGAGACGAACCAAATATTTAACAAATAATTCGATGTTTATTCTATTGAATATAAACATATAGACATTAGTCCCTTAACATATGAGCAATTTTGATATTAGTCCCTTAAAAATTTGAGTATTTTGATATTAGTCCTTTAAATTGTCTTAAGTTGTTGATATTAGTCCTTCTATTAGGTTTTATGTTAAAAAATCTAAACCATGGTTGGGTTAATATTAACTATAGATGGTTAGTTACTAAAACACCTTCGGTGTAATTCACCTCACTAAATGACATTCTCTCTCTTTCTCTCTCTCTCTCTCTCTCTCTCTCTCTCTCATTGCATGTTTTGATTATAGTTTAAAGATTTGGGTTTGTAGTAAATTTGGGGATGAGTTAGGGTTTAATCTTTGATTAGGGTTTAATTATGCAATGATGAATTTTAATTTGATTAGATTTTAATTAGGTATTGATGAATTTTAATTTGGTGAAGGGCATAATTGTTCCATAAATGTGACAATTATAGATAACAGAATATTCCCCTATAGATTTAACAACCACTAACTTGAAGAATTAAAATCAACAACTTAAAGCAATTTGAGGGACTAGTATCAAAATACTAAGATCTGAAGGACTAATACAAAATAGCTCAGATTTAAGGGACTAATATCTAAAAAACCCTAGTTTTTAATATTTGATTCATAAACGATAGAATTTAACCACATGTGTATTCAATTCGTTTGTTTAATCAACTATTTGTTTATATATTATACTTTAGACCTATAAATTTTAGCTATTACAATCTCTATGCATACCAAAACTTTCTTACACACAGCCTCATATAAGTACTTCTTAATTTGTGAATATTACATTATCACTAGGTTGCACATCTATTGATAGTATCATGTTTCATTGCATTATAAGACTGGACTAGAATACAAATATTTACCGAGTATCTGCCAAATGTGAACTGAATAATTCATACAAGACTACATGAGAACTGTTTACAAATATTCACGCATAGTTATGAATAATAACCCAATTGAATTCAAGATTTTCTGATTCGCTTCAATACGAGGGGTGTGTTCGGTGGGTGGTTGGAGAGGGGGGGGGGGGGGCTTTCATTTAGATACTCATAGTCCACAAATAGCCACATCTATCCACGGGCAACAAAATAACTCTCCACTCTTCACACAGCATACAACTCTAGTAACGGGTTATCAGACTTTCACAATGCTGACCATTCCCTTTTGTCTCAACAAACAACATAACGTACATTCTTATCTCCAAGAGGTACACAAAGGTTTTGGGGGAAATTTCGGAAAAGAGGATCCTCCATTAAAAATCATATAGAAAAATCATGCGCGAAGGAACTGAATCTTGACGCGTCTTAATCTAAATTCCAAGAAAAGTGGATGGTCATTAATCACCAACTTTAAGATTCATAGTAGGAAGAACATGCCAAGATCCTTTTCCTCTCTCTGTGATTTTCGATAGAGTCCCCTAACGTAATGACTTTTTCCCCCTTCAGCTTTCAGCATGGGCCTCATTCGTATCACCAGCAGGAATCTCATTCTTCATTCTCATCTTCAGCATGGAATCTCATTCTCATTCTCATCGTCAGCAGGAATCTCTTGAACAGACGCAAAATTGCTCAATACTTGCCACTAGTTTGTTACGGAGCCTGCGTAGGAGTGTCCGTGTTAGTAGGTGTGGCCTGGTCGGAGCTTAAACTAGAGACATTTTCACCAGGCTGGCGAGAACCATTCAATGTGTGGCAATGGGGGCAGTAATAAGTTACGTATGGATAATCCTCCTTTCTCGCCAACCCTGCAAATATTTTCACCATTGTATGCATGTTTTTGTAAGGACAATAAATAAATGCTCTTTCATGTGGAGAAGAAAATGAAATGTTCTATAGAAATGTGTTACTTCTGTACAAATTAGTAAACATAAAAACATCCGTTAGAAAGTTGGAATTACATATCAAAAGAATATAGAAACATGATAAATTTGTACTACATACATTTATCATGGTATCGACATTTTGCAAGCCATGGATAAATTGTTTCTTTTTTCTTTTTCTTCCTTTCGGTGGGGTCGGTTTTTTCATTTTTCATTTTTTATTTTTTTACTTTTTTGGGGGTGGAGTGGGGTGGGGGTGTGGGGGAGGGGGTATAATGAAAGCGATAAAATTTAAGAAAGTATTTGATTGAAATTAATACATAATCCATTATGAAGGTCTCAAGAACAGAAGATGGGTTAGTTTCATTAAAATGGTAAACCAAAAAAAAAAAAAGGAATGGGACTTACAGTATCAAAAGAATGTAAAATTATATGCTAAATTTCTACAATTTATGAACATGTAAGATTTGAACAGTTCACAAATAGGATCAATTTAGGAATCATGAATATGGAAACTACAGTCACTAAGTCTAGATATTTTGGATATGCTTATTGAAGAGTAATTTGGCAATCGCATAGCTGAGGAAATGATAGGAAACAAGTCTCTGGGACGTTTGGTTCTTGTAGCTAGAAATACAAATCATTTCCAGACTACATGTTCCCAATGCGTGTAATTAGAACCAGTATCGATGCTTTTCCAACTACATCTTTACATCAATATAAATGTATTGATACTTCTAAACTACTTATTAACACGATTTAATAAAAAACCTATGAAAACCATATTATCATACTGCCTATATAGTAGAGATGGCAATGTTTTACACAGTTTTCAAGATGTTACGACAATCTTTCATTTTTAATTTAGTGTCAACAAAATTTGAACCCTATTACGTAATTGCAACTACATAATGGGATCTAACTCCAAGTGACCAAACATCGAAGTTTGCTTTTTCATGTACTTGGAACATGTTACCCAACAGACCCTAATCGTTTCAGGAAACATGAGAATATTGTGCTTATCAGAATATATTTCAATGAATGAACCTATTCTGATCATAATCGGATCATGCGTTTCACTCACCATTGTGCATATGGCAGTTGCCACATATGAGAGCATAACACTGACTTGGGTCTTCACCCACAAGAAGAGCAGCGATACGAGCAAGCCAACCCCCATCATTAGGGCTTGGGCCTTTAAAGTGTTCAACAACCCTCTGATTCTGATCAGGAGATTCTTCACCGTCAGCACTATAATCAACCGATGTTTCATCTATGTACTGAGTTAGTGCAGCATTCCCCGTGCTGTTGCTTCTTATATGAGATGGTCTCCTGTTCCGAAGTCCAGCAGATCTTTCCAGCTCAGCATCCTTGCTTCTCCCCATTGTCCCTTTAGGGTTATTAGATTCATCACCAAGATAAACCTTCAAGCCTGAATCTGCCCCCAACTTAGATGCCAAAACAGTTGCTGCTGCTGCTTTTGCAGCAGGATCAAGATCGTATCTCTGGATTTAGGATCCAATGTTAGTAGCATATATATATTTGAGAGATCCTTGCTAGATATTCAAATACATGATAGTGAGAAGAAAGGCGTGAAGAGAAAGAGATACCTGAATAAGTTGCTGTGTAGTGTAATAGTTTGTTCTCTCTTTAAGCTCATCAATCTTTGCCTGCCTTTCCGCTCGAAGCCTTTCAAGTGTCTTCTGATCCTTGCGATCAACTGTAAGGAAAGTCAATGATTATGATCTGAGAAGGATTTGGAATCATATATTACCAAAAAGAAAAATTGCTTTGGAATATTAGAGCACTGGACAAACTGCATGACAGAATCCTGGCAACAGATATAGAGAACAACTTATATCTAATCTCTTGGAAAAGAGCACTATGTGGAACATTAGTTGTGTTGTGTATGATGAATATGACTACAACAATTGAAATGTATTCAACAATTACAGAACATTCAAACATATCAGTCTTCAATAATTTCTATTCTTGTGCGACCTGTGTTATTCCATTAATTGCCATCAACAGAATGATTAATAGGTAAAGTGTGAATACAGAAAAAAGAAAAATAAAGAACAGAACAGAACAGAACTGGACAAACTGATGTCAGAGCAAGTAGAGATGAATAAGCCTATCTTCACCAGCAAGCCATTTATTTCAACTAAACAATGCAGACAGAGGAAATCACACAAGGAACACAAGAAGGAAATTTGCAGCCTAAATTTCACTTGTAATGACACGATTATTTCATTTTCAGGATAACGATTCCTGAGATTCATATTGGCCCATTGAGCCTGGCAACACCTAACAGATATGCAATACAGTGATCTCTCTTCAGTCAGATGGGCAGATACTTAACTAGTCAAAGGCAGTAGAGCCTCTAATGGCACAAGCTTGGACTGCACCAACAATAATGTAATTTAAAAGTAAAAAATGCTTCATCCATGATGACCATACGTTTGGGACAAACCAGCAAGCTGGTGCTGTGTTCATTTTCAAAGACCATCGTTCAGCTAAATGTCAGCTGAAAAATAGGATAGTTACCTATGTAGTAACAACAAATATCGTTAAATATTTCAGCAGCACATGAAATCTTGCTGAAAAGAATAAACTAAAAGAAATTATAAGAGGATCACAGATTCACAACTCTGAAAAAATGGGAGCCTATCAGTTCCATCATTCAAAATTTTCAACTAGTTTCAGTTGTGTGTCATGTCCAAGCTTTGGTTCCACCAACTTCAAGCATTGAGCCTAGGTATCCTTTAGTTGTCAGTCGCGTTAGAAAAGAATTGGCTCCTTTTCCATCAGTATTCTCAGTTAAACTATTCATCCACCCCATTCTGCCAGAAACTGAGAGGCAGCATCACAGACAACCTAGTGGTGTCACTACAAATTAACTTACACAGTATCGACTTGACTTCCAAAAGAATCAGTCTTTAAAACATTAGTTCAGCGAAAACTTCACAACTTTTGTGCTTGGAATTATTTAATATGATCATAAATTCATAATACTCTGCTAACATGGTTCTACAAATAATCTGTTTTTCCAAATCACATAAAAATAATGCTTCCCACTGAAGTTATGGGAGTCTAGGTGATGAATATTGGGCATACAAAATCCTAGTGCTTCCCACTTCTAGTTAAAATAATGTTGTAATGCCCTTAACCAGTTGAGAGTGAGCTTAAACTTTTCAGTGAGTTCCTCACGTTCTACAAAAATCTCATATACACTGAAGTTATCATACAGCTAAAAAACGGTCTTATTTCTTCATAATATTGGTTTGAGTACATCTAGCAGGCTTTCATAGGAGTGCAATATGATATCTCTAGTAAAATCAGACGAAATACAGACCCTATGGTAATAATTCTTCAAAAATCTTCCCATAAATTGAAGCATAAATACCGCGCATGTCCAGCTTGTCACAAATAAATCATACCCGATCTTTACCAAGACGCTTAGTGATTTATGAGATAGCAAACATCTTCTGAAGTTCATCTCAGAGTTTATTAAAATCCGCATAATACTCATCCAAATTCCTTCTCCTTGAATAACATTTTGAGAAAGGCCTATGAATAGGCCGTGCCAGACAATTCTTCCTACAGTATGTGGACTCCAACAAAAGCCACAGGCCACAGTTCTTCACTGTACAATAGTGAAGGACCAAATGTTGTATCTCCATGTCCATTGCATTAGGAACCTGACCCAAAATATAATTATCATCTCACTTTCACTGAATTTTCTTTCTGTTCTATATGGTCCTCCTTTTGTTGCCCTTCCATATTAATCACAAGTCTCTTCCACTGCAACTAGTTACTGGTTGTCAGCTTCTGATCACATCCAGTAAATAATTGTGCCAACAGAAAAATAATCAGGACCGGACATAGATATCAACCATGTCTAAGTAAACAGCAACGCAAAAAAGATTAAAAGAGCTCCAAAAAGCAATATCACGTACTTAATGTATCTCTCTAACATTGAATAAAAAGATTAAAAGCAATTTCACTTGGGTGTAGAGTTTGAGGTATTTACGCATCCTTGTGAAGCTTACAAGTGATGAATAGATAAGAGCTGACAACATGGGTAACCCAAACATAGGAAATACTCTAGCTGCTCTCATCTTCCAGTCCAAATCCACTGACCTTGTTGTCATGATAGCATAAGCCACTGCCATTGCCTGATAAAATAACCATTGTCAGTTTTGAAAAAGAACTCCATCTAGCTCATGCAACTAACATGCACTTTTTAAACCAATACACGAGACCTGGTCATCGTCAAAACAAAAAGATAAAATAAAAACACTGTAGTGACCAATGTTGAAAATAAAAATAACGCATATGTAATGCTCTATCTCTTATAAGTGTTAAAGAAAAAGCGGCAAATAATAAGAACAATAACACTTGGTTATTTTGGTCATTAATTATTTACATATTTTTTAAATACAAGCTATTTCATAATGACTTCAATAATTAAAATCATCAAATAATTTTTAAGCATAACATCTTAATTAGGAAGACAATATTTGTTACTGTTTAATTCAAATATATAAAATATGTTCATAATAATTTTAAGAATTAGGAACAAAATATCACATGACAAAAATATTTTAATAAAATACAAACTATATAGATTTACTAGAAAGTATCACAATCAAGTACTCAAATATATAATCATAAATTTATAGATGTTTCATATTTACATTCATTTTATCAGTGATATTCCTCATTTCACAATCACAATCACAATCACAATCACGTAATGATGTCACCACATTAAGACATGAAGGCTTTACCAAACATTCAGAAGTAATTATTTAACTATTTCAACTTTTAAGAAAAGATGTGCTATGAAATAAAGTAAATTTACTTGAAATAAGAAATAACACATGTTATATTGAAATAACATAAGTTACATTGAAATAACACATTTTATATTGTTATAACGTAGAGTTATGAAATGTCTGTGTTATTTCATGAGGTAACATAACATTTAAGGCTTGTTAGGTTATATAACGCAACATAACGAGTTATGTAACGGTTTTTTTAAACAATGGTATTGACAATATTGATCTTTCTACAATGTTCTCAAATAATCTGAATTTAAGTATTAACAAAAAGGGGGAAAGCTATGCACTAGCGGATCTTCGAGAAGAACGCATCATAGTAAAGTTAATGTAGATTAGATCAGCATGAAAAGCATCCCTTCTTGAAAGAGCCTATCTCCTGTCAAACAAAGCCTTCAAAATTAAGGATCTTTTGACCTTACAAGGCACTCCAGTTCTACTGATCTTTGATCAGTGTTGTATCGAACAACTTTTGGGATGAACTTGTGATACTCTCAATTCATGAAAATGAAAATAGAAGAAAGAAAAGAGAAACAAACTAAACTAAAAATCTTAAGTCTTGATCAAGACTCTGGATGTGTGAAAAAAAGAAATCACCCTTTTTTCTTTTCCATTTCAATTTCTCGATTATTATATGATGATTTATTAACTTTCCACGTATAGAAAGAGATGGACTATAAATGGCATCTCTTATGTCAATGACACCAAAGGGATATTAAATGAATTGAGAGGTTGATGGTGGAAATTTGCAATTAAGGTAAGGATGTTTTCTCAATTCACAGGAGTGTAAGCTAACCTAAGAAAATTCAGTGTTCCCTTCGACCATGTTCACCCAGTGTTCCTTATGCCTGTTTCCCTTCCGGTAGAAGAACTAGATTGCAAAATTGGTTTTGAACATAATCTCAGACTTATGAGTAGAACGTTTAGGATTTGTATGACAGTGTGGCTGAGATTGAATACCACTCCTTAGTTTGAAGTTAGGTTTATCCTCCACCAAGTTGACTTGGCTTTCCTCTTAGACTTTGGATTGGAGTTTTGCCTATGCCTGGTCTTGGTGGAATTCAATTAGATTCTACAATAATAAAATTCCTTCAATTTCTTGTTTATTATGGATTTTGCACTTTTGACAACAAAAGCAACGTAAACTAGCATCATATGCAAGAAGTAAAAGACAAGAATTAATATCCATGTCTAACATATTTTCACCTTCAATTTATGAATAAATAAGTTGCTAGAAACAAAAATTGATTTGCAGAGAGTTATATAAAGATAAAAAAACAATCAAATAGACAAAAGCGGTAGAGAACTTAAGTATTGCTAAACTAAGGCAGTATACTTAGCTCAACGGTTATCAAATAATACCTTTGTCTACAGGTCAGCCTCCTAAGCAAGCTACAGATATTTCAAAGTGACCTTTTTTAATCTTTTCTAAAGAGCCTGTCAACAGGTGCAGTGAGGTTTTTAAAATCATAAAATATTTTACTACACAGGGACATTGGCAATTGATTTAGAAAGCCATAAAACACCATGAACTTGGAACTGAACTGGAAAGATGTAGATGGCCGAAAAAATAGCAAACAGAACTAGCAAGTGCCGCAATCAAATAGAAGTATGTAGGTAGAAGCTAGAGCTACTTGCTAGTTACTTTTCTTTTCCCCTTCTAAAATAGGGTTGTCATGTGTCTAGTCTAGGGTCTAGAATTTTCAATCACAGTGTTAATAACACATTTTCCACCAAAATTTGGTGGCAAGGTTTTTAGTTCGGGTAACGCAAATTTTTAAAAGAGTAAGGATTCTATCAGAAGCACCCCTACACAGTAGTAGTAACTCCTAAACTTACCCTCCAACTAGGGGTGGCAAATTATGACCTGACCCATCAACCCAACCCATCCCGACTCGTTCATATTGAGTGTGGGTCGAGTTACATGGGTCGGGTCATAAATGGGTCAATCCGAACTAACTCGTTTATTAGATGGCTAAATTAGGGTTGACCTGAACTGACCTGTAACCTAATAACTAACCCGTGTAACCCGAACTGTTTCAGCCGATGTCAAATCCCTCGGCGATGTTGCATCGTCTCCAGGAGGTTCCTGGCCCTCGTCCCCTCGTCGACGACGTTTTCGTCTGCGTCGACTGATTTATTTAGTCATTCATACGTATTTTATCTGAGGAGGAGTCGAGGCTGTGGTTTTTGGCGGGAGGGGCCCTGGCGGGGGAGGAGAGGATGGCGGCGTCGCGGCCGAGGGGCTGGCTGAAGTACTCGCGGGAGCAAGGAATCGGGTCGCCATCTTCGTCGGAATCCATTGGAAAAGTTGGATTTTTATCGATTTGGGTGAAATTTTTTTCTTTTTCTTTGGAGGAGAATGAGGGATCGGGACTGAGTTTGGAGGAAAGGGTCAAGGGTGAGGGCGCGATATCCACGCGCAGGGGTAAACGGACGGCAGAAGCTTCTCTTCTCTTCTTTCTCTCTGCTCTGCTCAAATGATGAGAGAGAAAGAGGATGTCTCATTATTCTCTACTTTAATTATTCCGCAATGTGGAAAAAAATATTTTATTTTTTGGCATAATACAGTTTTGCATACGCTTGGTAAATATGCACATTTAAGTGTATGATTAACATTGATTATTGTATATAAGATAGCTCTATTGAAATGGAAAGCTTGTTTCGGGTCTACTCTCGAAAGCTGTGTGATTCTGGGCGTTGTCTTCATCTTTTTCGTCGTCGTCGAAATCTCAAATTCCTCACCCTAGTTTTACTAGTTCTTCGGAATTCTGCGAAACCGACAATAGTGGAGTACTATTCCGGAGTCCTTTTACACCAACGGCAGCCTTAAATTGAGTAATATGGGTCATTTGGGTTATATGGGTCGGGTCGGGTAACTCATTTAATAAACGGGTCAGATCGCATTGACCCATTTATTAAACGGGTCGGGTTGGGTCAACTATGGCCCGACCCGACCCATTTGCCACCCCTACCTCTAACCATCTGTGAATGGTATAGATTAGCTTGCATTTTCTTTTCCCTTCTAAAATAGGCTTGTATATCTAGGATATGGACTTCTCAATCGCCAAAGACTAATATAACATCTGTTCCAGCAAAGAATTTGGCAGCAAAAATCCCCCCCTTTTTTGTTGAAACGCAACACACTGTGCTCCCCGACCACTGACTGTTATCTTCAGGCACTCAACATGAAATTTCAGAACATAACTTAAAAAATTAACCTACCTAAATTAAACAAAAAATTTAAATAAAAAAAAATCAAGAAACCTGCTGACCTCGAGGATCACAGAGAAAACGATGATGTTCCTGGACCTCCTCCTCGAAGAGTGAGCTCTCCTCTTCAACCTCGCGTGAACAGCGGCCTCCTCCTTCGACAAGTACTGCAGCTTCTTCTCGTAGTCGTCGTTCCTCGGTCCGAAGATCCCCTTCCATAATCTACCAAAGAATCCGCCCTTCTTCTTCTTCGACGATGGCGATGGCGATGGCGATGACGACGACGGCGAAGGCGGAGCCGTCTCTCCCTTCTTCGATCCTCCCGCCATCGAGAGGGAAAAGTTTCGGAGTTGAGGATTGAATTGATTGAGGAGAGAGAGGAATTTTTTGAATTTTTTGATCTGAAGGATTCTTTGCTTTGCTTCGATCTGGAACTTTTTGGGGGGGTTTTTTGCTTTCCCACACCGCCTTCCTTCCTTTTTCCTCTGCCCTTTACTTTCTTAGGAGCCCACGCGCAAAGACGGCTACTTTGCCCAGGAACTGAGGGTGTTTTTTATTCATATGCCCCCCTTAGCAATTTGCTATTTGGTATTTCCAGTCCAGGTGCTAGTTTTGCAAATTACATCGCAAAGTCTTAACAAAGTCCAGATTGCAAAATCGCAGCACTTCGCGCATGGTTTACCTGTATGTCTTTTCAACTTCTTCCCTATTAATTTATCCCCCTCCCCCCTTTTTGTTGTTTATTCTTTATTCTTCTCTGTATTTTATTATCTATCTAAAGTTAAAACTTGAAATCTTCAGATTTACCTTCTGCTTGATCTTGATTTATAGTTATCTTTATGACTGCAAAAACATTGTGATACATAGTTACATGCATCTACAACGATAAAAGTCAGTTTCTACAAATTTGAGGGACTTACCCACCTGCCAGCTTTCTATAAATATTAAATAAAACATTTGATTAGTCTTTTAAAATTCTAAGACTAATACAATTCGCAAATATTATTACATAAAATGTGATTTTTACGAGTTTCATATGAATATATACAGTTTAAGTAAAAAATACAAATGTATTGTGTGTAAAATCTGGTTATTGTAAACCTAGAAGAGCATCTAAGCAATGGACCTCAGGCTCTGTTTGGCAAAAAGGAGAAAAACTAGTTTTCTTCTAAACTAGTTCATAACTAAAGCCGAGTAGGAGGCGGATAAAAAAAATTAGCTTAAGACTAAAGTTTGGCCTAGCAAAACTGACACAAGTCTTGGCCCAATTTTTGCTAAAACTTGGGTCTATTTTAGCAAAATGCTTAAAACTAGATAAGGATCAATCCCAACCTGGTTTTATCCTAAACTAGGTTACATCTAGGCTTAGTTTGGCAAAATACTTAAAACTGGGTCAGGATCAATCCTGACCCACTCTTATCTTAAACTAGGTTATATTTAGGCTTGTTTGGCAAAATGCTTAAAACTGGGTCAGGTTGAAAGTTAGGTTAGTGTTACCGAATTGTCAAACAATCGTAACATTTGACAATTCTTCAAAACTAGGGCAGGATTAGTCCGGACCTAGTTTTAATTCTGATTTTGTTTGTCTAGATATAGAATAGGGGTAGACTAAAGTTTGACCTGGTTTTAACAAGACCAGAATTTTCAGTTTTGTAAAGCCAAGTTTTGATATAAAACAAGCTTTTTACAACTCTTTGTTCTAGTTTGGTTTTTAAAAGATTTACTAAGGGGCTGTTTGTTTGCCTAAAAAAGAGGGAAATCAAAGAAAAGGAAACCTATTTCTACGAAAAATAGGTTTTGGGATTGTTTGGTTAGCTAAAAAAAGAAAGAAATCAAAGAAATGGAGATGAGATGAGATGAGTTGTCACCTTATTATAGAATGATGTGAGTGATTTTTTAAGAAAACTTGTTTTGATGTTGTTTGGTTGGCAGAAAAAATAAGAAAATGAATTATAAGAAACCTATTTCTTGTATTAGATTGTTTTTTTTTTGTTTGATTATTTCTTAAAAATAAAAAAATAGATGAGATGAGTTGTCATTATATTATTGGATGATGTGACCCACACTTAAGAAAATTGTTTTCCTAACTTTTTGGGAGGAAAACAAAGAAATGAAATGTTAATGAGATGAAATGAGTTGTCACAATCTTATTGGATGGTGTGAGTAATTTTTAAATATGAGATGAGATGAGTTGAGTGATGTTGTGGATGAAAATAGTATTTTATTAGATGTGGTGGATGTGATGGATGGGTTGTTGGATGAAAATAATATTTTATTAGATGTGGTGGATGAGTTGTTGGATAAAAATAATATTTTATTAGATGTTGTGAGTGAGTTTTAGAGATAGAAATGTGTGAAATTGTACTTTTTGAGATTTCTTGGTTTTCATTTCTATTTTTTTGGTTTTTTAGGAAATAAAAACTGACTCATAGTCCAGTACTATCTGATGAGTGATGACCATTGGTGACAGATTAAAATTTCTTGTGAAGAGAGTGGACTTTCAAGTCAAACGATCTGACGCCGTTAATAGATTTTTGGAATAGTATTTGTTTATGGTAACGTAAATATTCAAATTCCAAAAGGCAGAAAAGTACACGCTCTTGGATATACCCTACATAAAAAATACATAAGTAATAGAAGAGGGTGTATATGCATATTAGCCACAATGGTACGTTTACGAAATGTTTGTGGGTCCATATCGGCTGTGAATTAAAATGTAATTAACAAAGTAGCAGTTGGGAGATTGTTGAGAGTTCAATTGACAGCTACCGACATGATACGATTCAATCCAATCTCCTAACGCTGTGCTTTTTTGATATTTTTTTGAACATAAGTGACTCCGCATAAGCTACTCTGTCCATTTACACCATTATTTTATGCTTAATAACTTCGGAACAAAGAGGAGGGCCCCTGGGTTTTAATACAAAAGAAATACAATTTTCATTTCTTTTCTAGGTGTTGGGTCAAACTGTAAGGAGATTGAATATGAATTATAGAAAGTTCTACCTTCTAGATCCATGCTATGGGTTTTATTATTCTTAAGATAATTAGAGGGGGGGGGGGGTGGTGAAGCTAATCAAGATTTTTGACACGATATTATTAGAGGGGGGAAATAGCTCACATAGCTAACTAAAGTAGGTTTAACGTAAGCATTGTAAATGCAATTTACAATCACTATAACTGTTAGGCGACCCAGTAGGTCACATAGCAAAACTATGTCGCTCTTCGATTCCCGTGTGCATCAAAGACGCTATCAATAGAAAAAACTCATTGTAACTGTTTGTTTTGCAACTAATAAATATTGGAAAAGGAAATCAGTCGCAACGTCACAGTTCAACAAGAAGCGAAGGAGGTCAGATTGCAACTCGAGCTAGAGTGAACCCTTAATCAAAGAAGTCCAAATAAAACTTTATAATGAAACCAGGCAAGAGAGAACTAATCATATTGTGCATAACAGGAGAGATCAAGCCACATGAGCAGAACAGGAGAATTTATACACCAAGTTCAGGGACCATCGAGTTCTACCACTTAAATCTAAAACCGAAATAACGATAATAACATTACTACTACTGACATTACAACAAAAACAAAACCTTTATCTCAAATATTTTGAGTTGATTACATGAATCATATTTTTCTATTCTCATGACCGATGCCAAACTATCTAAATTACACTCCCTTCCTCACATTTTATACTCAATGAGCAACATACAGAAAATAGAAGGACGGGCTCATTATTATTTACAAAATTTCCCATAAAGTTCGAGGTGAAGTTTACAACCAATCTCCATTTATCAAGGGCAAAGTATTATTACAACAGCAGCAGAACAGCATGTGATGTTCTGCCTAGTAAACAAATTTAGATAAAAACAAGAAATCCAACAGCCGTTTGATTCACTTGTACAGCATACATCTCTCTCTCTCTCTCTCTCTCTCTCTCTCTCTCTCTCTCTCTCTCTTCATTACAGGGAGGTGAAGTACTGCTCTAAGCTCCTAGAAGTGAACACATTAGATGCAATTTGTCCCAACTCAAGTTCTGAAATGTGAAGTTGGTGTCTAATAAACCGCTGATCAAAGAGAAGTTGTGTAAGCGATAAAGTTAGCAATGCGGAAACAATATATACGCTGGTTAGAATTAACCAATTCGAGCAAGAAAACATACCGCTAACTGAGAAACTATTTCAAGATTTGAGTCTACGTGCCAATCTGGCTCTAGTTGTCGAACAAATGATGATCTTCCCATATCAGTGCTACAGAAAAGAACCTGAAAAGGATCACATTAGATATAATTGAAAATGGAAACACACAGTATCATCTAAAATTCTTAAAATCCTAGTGGCATACAAACAAGGGTGCCCTTTGGTAAAGACACTAAGTTATCGTGTTACATATATGGGGATTAATTCTAATATAACCTTATACAACTCGGTGTATAAAATTGTTATAAGACTACTATATGTCATGAGTGACAAGTGGTGAATTATCTAAAAAAAGGGTTAATTTTACCCCCTCGGCTATTTTTACTACAGAAAACCCCCTAAATTTTGGGATTGTTGTAGATAACCCCCTAAACTTTTAAAATACAACTTCACCCCCCTCAACTATGAGGTATCACACATAACACCCTTATCTTTACGG